TCGAACCTACCTTCTTCCTTCGTCATCCACTAACAAACTAAGCGACCCACCGATAGTCATTTAGTTCGTTACGTCAGACCCCCCGACCCCCCCCCCCCCCCCATTTAACCACTACCACTGTGCTGTTAAGTGCTCCAGAAGTACCATATCTTATGATAGAAAACGTGGTGACAACATTGTCAGTCAAGTTGGACAGAGGCTTTATTTTAGCCCTGTTACAGAGGAACATGCTAGCATGCCCCAAGAGGAGCATTTAGGGTACAAAAGAAAATCAGCCCTAAAATGTGGTTATGTACTGTACAAATGACCTCAGTAGTGTTCTGTCATTTCTCTAGTGGTACATATTTTGAGATATTAGTCACTCTGGGTTCTTTGTGTACATTTAGTTTGAACATTAGTTTGGGATATGTTTGAATATATTAACTTAAAGAATGGATAAATTTATGGGCCTTTATTTATACAGTATAAACATGGGCTAATTACTGATTAAATCTACTGAACTTGTAGCTTGCGTAGTGTAAATATAGCTCTTCAAATTGTGATTTTGATTTTATTTTTTAACACATTACATACACATGTAGTATAGGTAGCAACAGCTAATTTGTTTGCTAATATGATATTTTTGTAAACCTGTAAAATTTTACTTTTCAAATGTATGAATTGAATATAAACATGAAAAATAAAATAGATCTGCATGTAAAGATGTTTGTAAGGTCGTGATGCTGTGGGGTCTAAAGTTATTATTTAAGAAACATAATGTTACGGTGTTTGAAATGGTGATTGAAATTCAGTAATTTACTTGTATATCTTAAATGAAAGTGAAGTTCAGAAGATTTTAGTTTTTTATCAGTAAATTTTTATGTGAAAAAACTGTACAAAGTGAGAAAATGGTACCATACATTATTTTCAAACTAAGTGTTTAACCAATTTTGGAGTAGAAAAGCTTAACTATTTATTTTTGAAATTTAGTTTTCTAAAAATTTCAGAAAATGGTTTTGAAAAAAATATAATAATTTCAAATGTGCATTCTAAGAATTTTTATTGTATGACTGTGAAATTAATTTCAAGTTTTTAGATAAATATTCAGTTTGTATTGGAATGAATAAAAATAGAGACATTAGTTTTGCAAGTACACTGCATGCTTAAGGTTGAATAGTGTATATTTAAAACGACTGTACAGGAATGTGCATCAGATGTAAAGGTATGTTTATGTACCTCTAGTATTTAGTATAGAAAGACTAACATAAGCACATAGTTGCCATTATTTAGTGGAATTTGTCAAATTCCTGAGAGGAGTGATATATTTAGGCACTGTACATATATATATATATATATACATATATACAGTGCCTATATATACACACACCATAACAGATTTATTGGAAGTATTGAACAGTGGGTTTCAACTTTATAAATTTAATATTATTTAATGAATAAGTTATTATAGAACAGCTTGGAATTTTTTTAGCTCCTCTGACATTAAGGATGAAGTGTTTACTGTTGGGCATAATTTTAACTAGTTAAAGCTAAGTTTGTGATGTTGAATAATTAATGTTTTTATTATGTACTAGAATTATCTGTCATAAGATTAAGTAGATGCAATTATTGTTTTTTTTTTTTAACTGTACAGTTGCATGTATAGTATTGTTAGTATTGGAGTGTCTGTGAATGCCTGGTATATGTCTTCTATTTCTTTCAGAATGGAGGAAGCAAAGAGGAAAATCTGTTTCTTCAACCAAAACTTCTTCCTGGTGAAGTTGTTGTTAAATGTATGAACAATGTCATGAAGTTTGACAATATGAGTGACAATAAAACTGGAATATCAGGGGCTCTTTGCTGTACCAATTTTAAGCTGAGTTTTATTACATTAGATGACTACCCATCCAACTTGGTATGTAGAAAGTGTTTCATCAGAAAAGGTCTTACAACTTATAACAGAAAATTTTAAAAACTACAGCAATAAATGCCACCGTGTTGCAATATGTAATACCTAACTTTTGCTGACCCTCTACCACTCTACATCACTGATTTTAAAAACTTATTTTCATACACGTATGCATAAACAACTTTTCATGTGCATTTCTCATACAATCACTTGCACGTGAACATGGTGTTATCAAATAATTTAACCTACTTTATCAAATCATTTGTTAACCTATTTTGTTAAATTTTAATTAGGTGTCAGAATATATTGCTTTCCTACATAAGAAAGTTCATTTCAAATACACTGATTTGAGTGAAATTTTTCATGTTGTAAATGATAGATTTCACCAAAGTATTCCCGTACAAAAATCATTATTTATAATTACCAAAAATGTATGTTAATGTTTTGTTTATATGGGTAATAAATGAATAATTACAAGATTAATTTCCATAAATAAGGTCTAGTATTTTTGTTAGTATAAATGTGTGAAAGAATGCCAGAAAAACTAAATTGGAACTTGCAAGAACCTTAAACTATGTAAATCATAAATCCTTTCATTAGAAAAAAATAAAAAAAGAACTAATGATATTGTTGTAGGCCATGTTTTTTATTTTATTTAGGCATTTGTTTGTTTAGAGGGAGTTTTGATGTCATGTAATGAGCACATGGCTTAATGAACAGAAGGTTCTTAACTTTAGGAAACAAACAATATAAAATCCAAGTTTGGTGACAATAGAAATTTTTGATGGATTGTGATTGTTTGGTGTAACTTGTCAAGTTGGTATATCATTAGTTAATGAAACCATATAAGTGTAGAAATTGTAGTCTAAGAAATAAAAAGCAGATTTAACATTTCATTATTTTTTTACCATATAATTCAAAAGAACCCACCCAATAATAGAAACCATTATAACAGAAGTGGTATTATTTGTTAAACATAAGATAAAATTTAGCTTGGATGTCAGGATGATGACACATGCAGAAGATTTTCTGGAAAGTATGAAAAGTGGAGAGATGATGAAGAAGAAAGAGAAAATTAAAAAAAAAAATCAGGAAGAAAGTTGTAGAAAGTTAAGTAGAGATAAAGATGAAAGAGACAGAAAATAAGAATAAAGAATTAACAGAAGAATTATGAACAAAAATCAGTTTGATTGAACAATTCATATGAAATATAGAAAAAGAAATTAAATGAATTAAAGTATAGGAAGACCTCGATATAGTAAAATGAAATGCAAAAGGACATCAGCAAGTGGAAAAAGAGAGTGAATTGGCATATACAAAGATCATTTAGTTATATCTTTCTTTGCATCTGCTCAAGAATTACAGTTTCAAACACCATTTGTAATGCAAAATGGAATAGAACCCACCTGTTACCATTTCTGTTTTACTGCTTGTAACTGCAGAACCTTCCTTAACTACTCCAACTAACACTACTTTAAGTTACAGATTTCAGGAGGCCAGTTCAGCAACACTGCCCAACTGAGAAACTACCAGCTAATGGGAAGGTACCATAGGGGGTATATCAAGCACAATCTGAAATAATCTAAGGTGAATGGATGGCATAGGAAACAATAAATTCAATTTGCTGCACATTTGAAATGTTCATTAACTCTCTGTATACATGTTCTGCCAATTTTATCAGCCTTGTAACCACATGTAACTGTGAAACTATATATACCATAACTGAATGTACTAAGTGTAATTTCACAAAAATTGGCAAGATTTTAATAAACACCACATGTCTATCTTATACCGAAAACCATGTATTTTTTACTAAAGGTTTGTCTGTGAATTTACAAAGCCATTCTTTACTGAGTCAGTCAGAGTGAAAGGTGATTTTCATGTTAAGAATGAATATATTTATTTTCATCTTATAGCTTTCATATTTCTTTTGTATAACCTCTAGAACTCCTAAATGAATAAGTTTTTTAATGCTAAACTCTCTAATTTTCTCTGCCCTAATATTAACTGTAGGAAAATTATCAATGAACAATGAAAGTATAAGTTTAAAAAATAGAAATAAAATGAATATTACCCCTTTTTTTTTCTAAATTGACTGCAGATTGTAACAGAAAATTTTCAGGTTTTTATGGATGTGGATGGGAAGGATTCTTTAGAGTAGGTGTCTGTGACTTGTTGGCGATAAATTTCAACAATAAACAGACAGCACACAATCCACTTGTTTTTAAAATAATATATTCAAAACAAGTCAAACGTATTTACAAAACTTCATTACACCTATTGATTATCACAGTTGTATCCAGAGCCTTAAATAATTGTCTTCTTTTCGGCAAAGTCCACACGGGCGGGTTCATTTACTTTGGAAAACCCTTTGACAAGACAAATTATTATCCTCTATATCTGTTATTACAATATAATCAGTGATAAATTTATGTTATCCTCTCGTTTACCACAGTTGTATCCAGAGCTTTTAAATAATCCTTTTTTATGTCAAACATCCACATAGGCTGGTTCAGTTAGTTTGGAACCCAATTGACAAGATGAATTATTCTTTTTTACTCTGTTATTACAATACAGTTCATGATTACTAAACTTTAAAAAGTTACTAGTATACACACTTTGTGGCTAAATTCACCATCATGCTTGTTAACTTCACGTTTTTCACTTTTACTAATTTAACTTGCTTAACTTCTACAAACTACGAGACGTTATGATGTAACAATACTCACTTAAAGCAATGAGAAAAATTCAGAAGGTTTGAGTAATTTACAACAATTGAACTACACAACAAATGATTTGTAAACAGTTATGTAAGCAAACTTGCTATAACTGTAGCTTCTAAAAATAACTTATTTTAACACTCATGCTATGTAAACAATCTAAATCATAATGTTTACATCAAACTTAAAAATGAAATGAAACAGTCATGTATATCCAACAATATATTCAATATATAATTTTTCACACTATATACAAAGACTGTTTTCAGTTCAGACACAAAGTCTCCTCATATAATCAGCACCAACATTTGCAGTCCACATGATGGTCTGTTATCACATAGGGAATCTGGTAGGCTTCACCTTGACTAGATCCGTGGCTGTTGTCTTGATATTGTGTTTCACAAGGTCTGTTTTGCCTGATCTATTTGTTAAGATATCTGCTTACTGGCACAGTAGCTCTTTCTTCTGCTTGCCAGTCAGTTCATCACTTACATTGATGCCCTTGTGCATCTCATCATCACCTAGTGGTCTTAGGTCTAGTAGGTCTTCATCTTCTATGACAAAATCACCATCTTCTGGTTCTTTGTCTATGACAGCCACACCTGCAACATCCATTTGTGGTGCAATAGCTGAACCTGTTATGTCTCCTTTCCTCTCAAAGTACCTTTTCAACAGATTGATGTGGTAGATCTTTGTTTTCCTATCCACTTTCATTTTATATTCCATTCTATTGACCACTTCCTGCACTTCAAAAGGTCATTTCCACTGCAGGATGAGCTTGTTGTTATCTGTAGATAGCATAACCAAGACCTTCTGTCCAATCTTGAAACATCGATCCTTAGTTTTTTTGTCACAGAAGTGCTCTTGACTGTCTTTGATGTGTTTAGCTTCTCCAGTAGAACTGCTTTGATAGATCTGGTACAGTACTTCATCTTGATCCTCTATTCTGTAGTCCTCTTCCTTTGGTCTTGTGCTCCACTTTCTCCCCGACATTGTCCCAGAGTTTTTACAGTGAAGGGTCTTTCTTCTGTGCTTCCTTCAGTTCCCATAGACCTACTTTCAGGATGTCACTTTTTGAGACTTGATGGGGCTTGATGTCTTGCTTACTTTTCTTTACTTGAGCTTTAGTTGTGATGGCATATGTTTTATCAGTCTTCTTTCTGTCTGGTTCCTCCAAACTGCTACTGCCTGGTATATTGCCAATCACCAAGTAGCAGATGGGTGCTTTCATACACGTGACTTCAAAGTCTCCCACATAGTGTGGAGTGTCCACCTGTATTCTTGCTATGGAAAACTTCTCACTGACTAATCAATCAGCACACACAGGAGTACCTTGCTTGTCATCTGATTTTCAGGTGCTAAATTGGTTCTAACTGCTGCACCCAGTATCTTGTAGGATTTTCACTTTCTTGTTCATGACATAGCCTTCACCTACTGGAATGTCGTGGTTTGTTGACACCTCTTCAATCACTACTGGACTATTGAGCCAATTGCTAACTTGAGCTGATCATCAGTTGTGAACTGTTTAATGATGAAGACAGTGCTTCCTTCTTGTGGAGATTTTGATGTGTTGTTTCTATTCTGTTTATTCTGGCAGCAGCAACCATGGTGATAGTCACTCTTTTCTTGTTTCTTTGTAGGTAGCTGCAGCTGCTTTATGTTGTAATTTCTGCTGTTGTTTGTTGGTGACAGATTTGCACTCATTTGCATTGTGGGGATTGACCTTGTGGCTAATATATGATTGATACATAATGTTATGTGACCCTTGTGAGAGACAAACAAATTTTTGAGGTTCATTGCTCATATTCATCGTTCACTTCAGCCATAAGTTTGAAGACTTTTGCTATCACTACACATTTTGAACTAAACCACTTTCTAAAACTAATTTAGTATTCCAACCAAAGGTTGCTTTAAGCGACAGCGTTTGAAAGTTTTCATTCGTAAAGAGAGGAATCCTCAATTCAGTTACTGAAAAAAGTTTTTTGAATTAGCCTTATTAAAAAATGTTTCTAATTATATCTTTATTGCATACATAATGATCAACTTTCCAACCTTAAAAAAAGAAAAAGAAATTATAGCTTTAAATTTATTATGATAAAGAAGATCCACATTCTGCTATTTAAATTATTTAAGATTTATCTCCTCCTGGCTCGACACGTATGCTTTCATGGAATGTGTTTCAAATTTCAGCACTTACATTGTGTTACTTTTGACATTTGTTTAAAATCAGGAAGTTATTAGTTTTTACTGGTTGTAACAGTTGCCCATATTCGTGTTTCTTGTTTTTCAACCATTTGCTTCCTACTCGAAAAACCCAAAATATTTATTTTTTCTCATTCAGAAGCAATCCAACAAATCAGCAATCATGTTTGTTGAGCCACAACTAAGTTTAAGATAACTTCTTTGACTTGTACATATTCATAAATAATGGGACACTCAAATTATGAAATGGGATGTTCTATAGCTGTCCAATATGGTAATTATTTTGTAAATAATTTTATATAACTGTTTACCACTTTCAACCTACAGTGACATTCAATTTAAACAATTCACAAAAAATCATTATTGGAAAGTAATAAGACATTCCAAATTTCCACTCACTCTGTTGTCATGTACACTACCTCCTCAAACAATGAGCTAATACACAGAGCAGTACTAACAGGGATCCACATGGCGTATCATCCCAAGAACCTCACGGGAAAATTCCACATACATCTCTGGCAAGCACAAAGTGTGTATTAGCTCTATGCATAGGATGCTGTTATTGACTGTTTGCTAATGTTTGGGCCATAAAGAAACGGGTGTGCTTCATGATGTGCAGACCATTGTTTTTAACCTTTCTTTCATTTAGTATATCAATTTATGTAAATAAATGAGTAACACCGTATATCCTGATTTTAATCTTAATGAGGTCCTCTGCCTCATAACTCCAAGGACAGGACATGGAACCTCGTCTGTGGTTGAGTTGATACCTAGCAATGTCTAGAAAATGCATCCATCTTCATAATTCCAAGAATTGGCTATTGGCTTTTCATTGTTTCTGTGTGGGTAAAATGGAAAATACACTGACTTGGCAACACTAAACAGTAACAGGCTGTGTGTGAACTATGTACCTCCTCCTGCAAGTGAACAGGTGTCACATGAATTATATTGTAGAGTAAATAAACTCAAGAATCAATTGGCAGAAATCTAAAATCATAAAATTGTCGGAAGGGTATAGAACATGAACGTTTCAGACTTTTTGTAATTCTGTCTTTAGAATGATCACATGAAAAAGTAAACATTTTTTGGCTAAGTTCTTTATCAGTTATTGCCTAAAATTTATTAATAAAAAAAGAGAGTTGGAGAGAGATGCAAACCCAAAAAGCAGCAATGTAATAAAATATGTCTCATAAACCTAATTACCATGTACAAAATAGTCAAATATTTGCTATTAAAGTATTATTGAAGACAGCTTGTGACCTTATACCTGATTAGGTTCCCATTATATATATATATACAATAATTGACCTTGGTTGGGATATTTTGAGCCTCATTACTAAATATATGTGCAACAATCTTCTGCTTTTAAGGGACATTCAAGACTGTAAATATAGGATTGTGATGTATGTTGACATTATTTTGCCTGTTTGTATTAATTGTTACAGTTATATCAGAAATGAATAAAATTCTTAAAACTGGTTCATGATTTTACTTGTAACCATCATACCCTGTGATGACTAATACACAGACAGCACCTTTGACAACAAATGAAATTATTCAGGACAGTTATTGTTTTAATTACAGTATAAGTGTAGGTGTGTTTTATTTTACAATAAAACTGACAGGTTAATGTTATATTTCTAACATGGCTTCCAGTTTTTAGTTAATGTGTACAACAATATGAGAGTGATCTCAAACTTGGCATGGTGAAGTGTCATGATGTATGATCATCATCCAGTCATGTACAAGTTGAGTTGATGTCCTATTGAAAAGCTTAAATAATATGTTCAGTAAATTTTATTTGGTTTTGATCACACATCAGAAAAGTTATTAGATGTGGCCAAAGCCCAGTGTTTAGGAGAAAGATGCACAGCTTTATTATTTATTGTTCAACTAAAGTTGAAGTATACTTAAGGGAATGTAAATGGTGAAGAATCTGTTAATGTTTGGTTTAGAACTGAGCAGTCATTTGGAATTTTATTTAATGTCTTTTTTTGTTTGTGTCTTCTCTAAGTGTTTTTTGGTAGTTCAGTTGGTGATGTTCTTGTTAAAACATTTTATACAGCTATTGCTTCATTTTGTTATAAGATATAATGAAACCTTAGTTACTTAATTTTGCTAAGTTCACATTATATTGAAATTAGTAAATTAGGTCCTTAAAGGTTGTAGTTTGGTCCTGGAACATCCTGAAATTATTTTCCCATTAGTCTCTGTAAACCATGGAAAATTTATTTCTTCACATTTTTATTGCACTTTGTATGATACATTTGATTAATGGTTTGATTTATTTTATCAGTATTTATGAATATCTTGTGAATTATCAAGTGTTGCTCTGTTGTTAATTGTGGAAGTTTAAGTTTGGTTACCAGTGTTTTTTTTAGTATTAGGACTGTTCTCAGGACTTTACAGTCCAAGGAGGGGGCAGCATTATAGGCTATTTTTTTTCCTTTCTATAAGTTTAGGCCTTTGTATTATTGTTTGCCTAGAGGTAAGTTTGATGTCACAGGGTGAGTGCATGGCTTAATGACTAAAATTCTGTTGAAAGCATAAGAAACAATCTGAACAATATAAAACTCAAGTTAGGTGAGACTGAAAGATGTTGACTGATTAGTGAGTCTGTCACAATGCTTGATTGATGATTAAGTTATTGAACTGATTAGTAATTTCATGGGTGAAAGTTCTCTGTCTGTAGACTGAAATCGTTCAAAATGGCTTTCCCCAGGCATGATTATAAAGCATGATTTAAATTTAATGTGAAACAAACACATTTTACAGGTTATTGCCAACACTGTTCTAATATTTATTTGTATAAATTTACAACCATTTTCACTTGTACAAGAATAGGGTCATAATTGGTTAGTTCGGTGATGTTTTGTGTATGTACAGTTGAGGTTTTAAAACATCAGTTGGGCATGCATGTAAAAGTATAATTTTTATCTAGCTTAGTGTGATTGTTAGGTTGGTCCATTGCATTACACACTTACATTACTCACACCATTTTAAAGAGACATGCTCAGAGTACCTATCAAATAATTAAGGTCAATCAGAGGATCTCTGTTGAATAAAATGTCTTTGTATATGGTAGTGTTTGTTAAGAGATCTTACTGTCAGTAAGATTTTGTTCCTTCAGGCAACATGTGGTTTGTGTGTCCTGAGAAGGTGTCCCAGAGTAGATGTAGTTTGCAACTATATGTTTTCAAACTGTCAACTTCTGAAAAGCAGTTTCCCATAGGTTATGATCAAAAACAAAAAAACATTCTTTTTGTGTTTTATGCTTTAGAGCAGTGTTTCCCAAAGTGGGGGCAATGAAGCCAAAAAATGGGCCAAAAACAAAGATGCTGAATTAATTTTAATTCTAAATAAACAATAAGCCAAAAAAAAAAGAATTGTGTTGAATTAATTGTATCATACAGGATGTCAAAAGGAGATGTTATAGTTTTTACTATGGCACTGTTTTTCAATCACCATGCTAAAGTAGTGGGGGAGGAACATTTTAGAATCACATTTTAAGGTATTTTTTATAGGTTTGGGGGATCTCAAAGCTTTTTTATTCACATCAAGGGAGCCTCAGACTAAAAGGGTTTGGGAACCACTGCTCTAGTGAATCTTTACTTCCTCTGTGACACATTTTTAGTAAATGAGTGTTTGATTGGTATGCTGTGGTAATTTTTATAAAAAGGTATTATTGATCTAAATTAATTCATATTACTAACAAAACTTCATAAGAATTGTAAGTATGTGAATTTTCAGCTAAACTAGTTTGGTTATTATTCATATATCCGATTTACTTTTCAGCGTTTGCGAAATCTTTTACTTCAAGAAAATGATGTTTGTTTAATGAATATTGACTCTGTATACCAAGGTAAGGTGATGAAAGTTCAAATTATAATGTATAATTTAATAGTTACAACTGTCTATGTATTATTGTGTTTGAAGTGAAAAAATTATTAAAACATTTAGACTATGAATCAGGAGAAAGTGTCTTAAATGTTTTCTTTGTTATTTTCTTTTCTGAGTTGTTATAACTTCCTAACTAATAAATCAATGAATTTTAATAATTATAAATCTGTTTTTTTATGAATTATTTTGTGGTATTATCAACTCTTAACTAGTTTGTTATATACAAACAGCTATATTGACAAAAAAAGTTTTATATACACTATGGTCAGCCTGCTGTTGAAATGGATAAGCGGTGACAATTTTTCCACAAACTAACGTGAATTTTTGTCAAGTTCCATGACTGTTTCAGTGTGTTATGTATAAAATGGGGGATATGCAGTATATGTTCTTCATTGTTTTTTGGATCGTGCAGTGTAATTTGATAATAGATCCTGGAATGCTGAGATCAGATTGTTGATTTTTGTGTAATTAAATCCTAAAATTACTAGTTTCTGAACCCAAGTCTTTGTTACAAGCTGATTTTCTGTTTTTGATGTGTAAAGCAGAGGGGCATATTGCAATCAGCTCCATGAGTATGTATGTTTCCATACACATATCTCAAACTAATGGACCGATTTACCTGAAAATTTGACACAAGATGGAAAGTCAGTATGGCACAATTTCTCCCAAATTTGGTCTGTATCCAAATCTAGGTTCGGATTCTGGATCAATTTGAAACATTTTTTATAATGTGGAGATAGGGCAGTTTTGGGTTAATAACTCTGTAATGTGTGATTGGATTTGTACCAAATTTCATTGACACATTAAGGTTGTGATTCCTCATCATACAACAAAATATTATCTGGATCATTGATCATTCTGGATCTGAGAAGGATTTTCTGAGTTTTTGAAGGTGAAATTTGACATTATACAATATAAACGCATGCAATCTCAAAAAGGAGCCTTGGGGTGAGGGTATGCAACCTCTATGATTGATCTTGTTTTGTAATTATTGTCTTTTTTTAGTGATTATACTTCAGTTGCTGACAGTTTGGTATCCACTATCAATGGCGTGTTGACACTACACAATTGTTGTTTACTTGTTTTATACAGCATATGTTGAAATAGTCACAAGGAGTGATGAAAATTCACATCAGTATGTTGAAACAACGTTGTCATTTTCCCATTTAAACAGTGACTTGTCCGTATATAAAATTTCGCAATGAGTTATTACTGCACCTGCTAACCATGTCTTTTTAATCAATTAGCTACACTTTATTTTTTAATTATGATACATGTAGCTAGATCGTTTTCATCAGCAGTATCAATAATTAAACATAACATTCAGAATTTAAAGATAATTTATTGTTGGTGTTGCTTAAAAACATATTTTAGTTTCATATCAATCATTAAGGAAGTTTGATTAATAATGAGAGATTTGAAGTGTAGAGCTTAGCAGTTAGTGGTATTTGCTAATCGATTAAGCTATTGCCCTAGTAATTGCTTGCATTTGATTAATCAATTAACACAGTATTTCTCAAACCATGATATGTATAGGAAACAAAAAAAGTTGGGAGTGGGTGCTGCTATGCATTGACTTCCATCTATTCAGCAGGTCAACAACAACTACATATGAATGAAAGAAAAGGTTGGCAGTGGCAGATACCATTAGTAGCTTTGCCATAACAAAGACAGGGCAAGCAAGCAAGTTTGATGGCAGTGTTTCAATTACTTAGATAATTGGAATAATTAAACATTAATAATGGGGAACACTAATATCAATTAATCAACTAAATTATAATTTTGATTAAGCAATTAGTTGCTTAATTCAATTAGTTATTAATCTTTTAAAAGTATTTTAATGTTGAATTTTTTCGTGACTCGCATAACATACATGTAATGCATTCATTTATTTTAGGTACTAAAAAGTATTGTAACATCTTGGGCATTTTTTATGATAATAAATAAAGTTAATTGCTTTAAATTGTCATTGTTATATAAAAAGTATTTGAGTTTTAAGTGTTTCTTTTCTGATATTAGTCATAAATGGACGAAGGAAGAAACTTACTTCATCAATGAATATATCTGGGGATCTGAAGGCTGTTGAAATACACTGTAAAGTAAGTTTGGAGTTTGATTATTAAGTCAGAAAAATGTAATTTTTATATCCATTTTGGTAGAGATAATTTAATGACTTAATCATTTTTATTGGATGAAATTTCATTTGAAGTAAGTTTTTTATTGTAACTGTAAAGTATAATTTTTCCTTCTGTAGGATGTTAAAATACATTGTTTAATATGTTTCTTATGTAAGGCTTTTATGAACTGTAAGGTTGTAAGGAACTTTCTAATATCTTGTCTGAGGTTTTGAAGTATATTATAAAGCAAGTCTTTTTTTAGTGAGATGTTCAAATACATTTTAAACAATTTTCTTTGAAATGTTAAAAGTGCATTTTTAAGTAAGTTTCTTTTTTGTAGTTTTAAAATACATTGCTGAATACATTTCTTCTTTTGACATCTTTTATATATATATATTTTGAAATGCTTTAAAAAGTAAATTTTTAATCTCTCATTGGAAGTCAGTCTTACTGGATTCCCTTTTTTGCCACACGAGGAAATGTAATGACAGAGATGCATACATTAATAAATAAAATAAAAACTTGACTGGTTTTGTTTGAACACGTCACAAGTTTGGATACGTATATGGGATGAATATAAAAAGTATTTACTCTACAGGTCGTTCGATGTTGTACATTGTTATCTACAGTATAATACTATATTGAAGTAAGAAGTCAAGTTTTTATAAGTTGTAGGATCATTATATAAAAAAATTACAGTGATAAAATAAAATGTGTAAAGCTTCAATTAAGGTAAATATATAAGTTGACTGGTTTTGTTTGAACACGTCATAAGTTTTGGTCGGTATATGGGATGAATATAAAGAATATTTACTCCACTGGTCTTTCGATGTTGTACATTTTACGTACAGTATAATACTATATTGAGGTAAGAGATCAAGTTTTTATAAGTGTGTAATGCTTCAATTAAAGTGAATATATAAGTTGACTGGTTTTTTCATTCTTAACTTAGTGTTAACTGTGCATTAAAGCATTTCCATTATAAATGCAAAATACATGTAATTATGTCATCAACTAGAATAATCTTTGTATTGATTGGTTACTTTGTGGATCTATTAAATGCCCTTCACTTTATTTGTTCATAGCTGCTAATGCTCAGTTAACAGTAAAATGCTGTATGTTTAATATTTTTTTTATATATAAAGCTTTTAAAATCAACTTAAAAAATATATGAGCAAGTATGAAAAGTTTGTAAGTGTACATTATTTATTTACATTAACTCTTGTGAAAAACTGGCAGTTTTTCTTTCATCTATTTCTAGGATCTAAGAATATATACATTCAGTTTCAAGTTCTGCTCTCAATGTGATTCCAAAGATGTAAGTTTTTCATTTCTAAACAAATATTTTGTGTTAATATTGATACTTACTAGGCTTTTACCTGGGAGGACTTAAATTTAAAAAAATATATGAATTTGACAGTTTATTGAAGGTACATGTGTGAAAATAATTTAATTTCATAATCTTTCAGTCTTTCCACTAATTTGCAAAAACAAATTTTAATAGTCTATGGTTGTGATATGTATATCATAATCATAAAAAACTTTTTTTTTACAAATGATAAAAATTGAGTCTTACATAGAGATTTGTAAGTAAAATGTTGATGAAACAAATTTGAATTATGATAGTGTACTTCCTTTATGTTACAAAAAATTACCAAAGCTATTTCCTGAGTTTTTTATTATTTACTTCACTTCAGATTCTCTTACGACTTTAGTTCTGATGTTTTCTAGCATGTATATAACAATTCATGTATGGAATATAAATTTTATATGCTCACTAGGTTTACTGAAAAATATTTTATACAACAAACTGGGGTACCAATCTTTTGTCTGGGTTATGAAGTAAAAAAAATGTGGGGGTGGATGCTATGATAAATAACACAAAAATCCAAACTTTCATACAATTTATTTATGACATAACATATTACAGTTTTGTATAAGCTTTAATAATTCAGTATGTATTTATTTAAAACATGGTATACACTGTGCAATGGTCAGGATGATTTGTAGGATAAGGTAGCTGCCAAAGTAGTGGCAGTAAGGGTGCTTTTTGTTACCCGCTTTCAACACACACCACTTAATATCCTTTCACAGTGTTTCACATAAGTAATTAATTGACAGTCATTGGCCACAAAAGTGTCTTACTGGCCAAAGTTGAAAGGCCACAAGTCAAAGTAAGATGTAGGTATAACTCAAGAAATGTCTTTTCATGTCTACCTTGTGGTGGCTGTTGGAGTAGAAACTTCAGCTGAGTTTATGTAGTATTACAATAGTGGCGGCCATTTTTTTCATTGCATTCCTCCATAGAGAGTGCTAGCGCACTCTCTGAGATAGATAAGACGTTTGTGTGGCTTCTCCCCACATTGTGTGTATGTTGTGTTTTAATAAATGTAATAAGGTTTTTTTTGTTTGGTGTAAGAAAATGGTGCCATCTACAAATGTAGTTAAAGTTAATATATGTCAAAGATAATAAATGCTCAATAATATCAATAACAAGGGTGGAGGGTTGTGAACCCCCCATTAACATACTACTTGTTCCAAACTATTATCTCACAAACTTTGGTTGAGATTGGCCCAGCGACGAAGGAGTAGTTAGATAATGGACAGACAGACACACAGATTTTTGTGCTTTGTATATAGGGATTCCTGTATATTGTTTTTTCAATAGAATATAGATTTTATATTTGAGAAACTGTTGCTGGTGTGGTTGATATTTATTACCTGCTTGTTGAAGTACCACTAGCTATTACTTCATCTTTTAGCTACTTACTGATTGAATTCTGTTTAATGTCACTATTAGTGTTCTAAAAGAATTATTTACTCAAAAATAAAAATGTAACTTATACTTGCTATTGAGCACCCAAAGTTTTGTATGTTGGACAACTTTCCCAGTGGCTCATACTGTACATTTTGTTTAATTCTGTTGTTGCTCATTGCACTTTGATATCTCCAACCATCAAAAGCATTATTTATTTAGTTTTATGCCTACTTATCTGATTTGTTGTTTATTAAAGATAAAAAAAATTATAGTGTAAATATATATCAATTTCTTTACAGCTGTTGAATACAATCCTTTATCATTCTTCTCCAGGACAAGTACAACTGCTGTTTGCATTTGATTATGTAGGATTTCAAGGTATTATTAATATTTTTATATATCTATTTTATATAAATTCAATTCTTATTTGTATAGTCAGCTTACTTTTGGTCAAAATATAATAATAATTGTATAAATCATATTTTTGTTATGTTTTTTAGTTTTTAAAGAAAATTCTGATAATCAATAAGGATTTTGAAATGCTTTTATAAATAAAGAAAAATATTGGGGAGTTTAATAAAATGACCTTGCTAATGTCAATACACAATTAAAACACAGCTTTTATGATAATACAAAATTATTATAACTGTTTTTAACCCTTCCACTACTGGTAGATCAAAGTGCACATTTGACAACATTTTTCGAGAGTTACATTTAAATTTTAATTAAACTACTTTATTATCATGATATATAAATAAACATGGCATCAAATTATAGTTAATAAATAAAATTTTAATATTATATAAATTTTAAGTTCTTAATTTCCTAATGAAATATTTAAAAAATCCTCAACCTTTCCTAGAATGAGAATTGTGACATCTATTGTCTAGGTCTTTCCTCTTTAATTTATTTACCACCCCTCTGAAAAGTATGGAAGTTAATGTAAATTACTCATTATAATATAGTTATTACCCATGTAAAGCATAATTTTTATAGCCTTCAATCTAATTTGTTTATGGAGCCATAAACTAGAAAATCAGACCCACTTGGCATGCCCACCTGTTACATCCTCTCTTTCACAAATTGTTAATAGTTCTCTCTGATATTTTATACTCTATTATTTATAGCCAGTAGAAAGCCAAAATTTTACTCTATCAAATGATGTATTATACTGTGTTGTTTTCTGTACAGGGCATTGTCTATTTTGTCCTCCAGTTTCAACTTTGTTCTCATAGGAATCACATCAACGAGCTTAGCTGAATGTTTAAGTCTCTTATTGCCTAGTTAGAAAGCCATAAAAATTATTATAATTATAGGACATTGTTTGCTTTTGGTGTGTTATTATTCTGCACTTTTAGGTGCATTATGTAGTAGTACCATTAGTATAAAAATAAATAGGCTTAAATTTCATTGACAGTCGACAGCAAAAAAAAAGACACAGATACTATATTTCTTGTTTTTAATGTGTATTCTTTATTTATTCTCATAAAAGTAACTAAAATGTTAAAATTAGAAACTTATTAGGTTAGTTTAGGTAAGATAAAGAAACATAATAAAAATTCTTCACAGGATATGCTCATGACTAGCTCATGCATTATGTAATTTGATACGGTATCATGAATTAAACATTTGCTGAGCAACTTACAACTTGTATAGTGGGATTATTAGTTAGTCACAGTTCAAAGGGCAATAAACCAATAAAACATAATTAGAAACAGGTGTGTACTGTTACAAGCTTTAACCTATTTAGGATAAAGAATTGTAGTTTCCTGTTACAATTTGTAGTCATTCTAGAAAGAAAAATAGGTTTTATAATAAATATTAAAAACAGGGTAATGCCAAAAACATCTTTAATACAGAAATTTTGGAATTTCTGTCATCAGTGTTAATATCTAAAACAAATTAGTTCAAAATTTTCAAACTACAAAGAACAACATTATCATTGAGTGAGTTTTCATATTCAGTCAGAAGTTTAGAAAGAACAGGTTTAAACGGCAACAATATAATGGAATGTACGATAAAACATGAGGCATAAATATGTTTAATAAATAACATTGTTAAGAGAAACCATTATAGAGAAAGACTTAAATATGAATATCAACACTGTATCTTTAAAATAATAATAAATATAAAATTAAAACACAGAAAATCTGGAATTGATTACATTAATGACAACAGGGAGGAGTTCATGTTATTATTTAGTGTTGGGCAATCACTGAAAATGGAGAGGCTTTCTTTAATAAAGAGTTTATAATCTGTGGTTCCGGAGTCGAGAATTTTAAAAGTTTTCTAGAAGTATGGGGTGGTTGTTATTCTCACTGTGCAATCAGATAAAAGACTCCAGTAGATTACTTAGCTTATTGTGTGCTCCTGTGCACGTATCTGTAGGTGATGGGTAGTTTCACCAATATAGGTAGCTTTACAGCTACAACAAGCACAGAGGATTGGGTGGAGTGCAATGTTCCCTGTAATTTTTCAATCCATGTGCAGAATAAATATTTTTCAGGTGCACCAGTATCAAGACAATGTGTGAATGTGCATTAAAAAAATTTTTTTTTTGGGGGGGGGGGGTAATTTTTATACTATCAACCCTATTGAATCATTAGGCTGCTTTTCGATGCTACGAGCTGGTTATTTAGGCTTTAGGCCTGTTGACTGCCAGAGTTATTAAGGCCATCAACATGTTAGATACTAATGCTGATGATGAAATTTAAGGAAATTCCGAAAGGTCAATCAAATTCACTGAATGCTTGTAGAGTTAGGGTAAAGAAAATTACCAATAAAATATAAAGTTTTACAGAAAGAAAATATTAGATATTTGTTTAGGAGGTTTTATAGATTACTCAAATGAAATTTGACAGTTTTCCGTCATATTCACATGAATTGATATATTTATAATTTAATTAATATCTAGTAGATCTTCCTTTCGCTTCGTGGAGTTCGTTGATCCTTTGGGGCATCATGAGAATCATCTTGTCAATTTTAGATTGTGGGATTTTCGCCCACTCTTGCTTCAAAACTTGGAATAGATCGCTCTTCAAAGTTGGTTTTTTGGTTGTTTCTTGACTTGCCTGTCGAGTATGGCCCAGAGGTTTTCGATGCGGTTCATGTCAGGAGATTGGCTCAGCCAGGGCAACTTCTGGATACCATTTTCTTCCTGCCACTTTTGGGTGTTTCTAGCAGTGTGACACGGCGCTCCATCTTCCTGGAACAACGTTGTGTTCTTGTCCACGAAACCTGAGGAATAAAGTGGCAAGAGTCCTTCCTCCAATATTTCGACGTATTTCGCAAAATTTATGTTACCAACGCACTCCACTAAGCTCGATCTCCCACCAACCCAAACAGCTCCCCAAACCATCATGCTGAAAACCACCATGCTTCACAGTTGGCTGCAATCTGTTGAGCCAAAACTCTTGGTGAGGCATTCTCCAGACCCCATATCCTTTCACTGTCCGAAAATTGAGCGAATCTTGATTAGTCTGAGAACAATATGGTCTTCCAAAAGTCCAGAGGCTTGGTTATCATATCACTTGCCAACTTCTTTCGTCTGACTATGTTGGCAGGTCTTAATAAGGGCTTCCTTCTAGCTGCTCTGCAATGATAACCCAATCTGTGGAGAATCCGTTGAACAGATTTCGGGTTCATTCCACCAACT